CCCCAAAACCCCAAAACCCCAAAACCCCAAAACCCCAAAACCCCAGATGGAAGAAGGGAGGTTGATTTTATTAAATTTTATTCAGTACAAGATGATTCCCATGATGGACCCCCAATACCTGGCAGAGAAGTATGCAAGCAAGCCTAGTAAGTCCTTAATATATATATTAAACCTCAGTTTGTTAAACAATCTTAACACCCACCTTTTAGGCAACCAGAGGAATAAAATTCTTGGCGGGAGGTATGTCAAAGAGAAATACCTTGGCAAGGGAGGTTTTGCTTACTGCTTGCAAGTGACTGACACTAGTAATGGAGAAAGCTATGCCATGAAGATTATTCCCAAAGCAGTCGATGGTAAGAAGAGAGCCATGGACAAAATTCAAAACGAGATTAGCATTCTTAGTGAGATGGACCATAAAAATGTTGCAAAATGAGAACGGTATCTCGAGGATGATGAAAATGTGTATATTATCATGCATCTCTATAAGAACAAAAGCATGGTTGAGCTTTTAAAGGTACGCAAAAGAATCACCGAGGAAGAAACCAAATGTTATATCCACCAACTAGTGCTTGGGCTAAAATACATTCATTCACAGAATGTTGTACATCGTGATTTAAAATTGGGAAATCTGTTCCTGAGTGAGAAAATGGAGCTCAAGATAGGTGACTTTGGTCTCTCCGAGAGAATTAGCTACCCTGGGGAGCTATTAAAGTCCATGTCAGGGACCCCTAATTATATCGCACCGGAGATACTAATAAACAAAGAGGGACACTCCTACGAAGTTGATATTTGGGCGATAGGAGTTATAACGTATACATTGATTGTTGGTAAACCTCCCTTCCAGAGCAAGAACTCCAAAGCTACTTGTAGCCGAATCAAACGCTTAGATTATTCCTTCCCGAAAGATATTTACATTAGCCATGAAGCAAAGGATTTTATAACCTCAATGTTACAGTTAGATCCAACTGATAGGCCATCTATTGAGGAGATTCTTGAGTTTTCATTTTTGCAGGGCTCTTTCCCAGATTTATGACCTCCTTCCTCAATGTATGTGCAACCAGAGAATTCAGAATTAACAGTAAGAGTTAGCTTATCGTTTTAGAATCATAAGAGGAAGGTTCTAATTACTCCTCAAAAGTTCGGAAATGCTAGAAGACCTAGGAGCAATATGAAATCATATCGTGGGAGAAGCCCCATAGCAGATGAGAATGATAACTTGAGTCAGGATATAGGACAAGAATCCAACATTATCAACCTCGACAGTAACTTGAAATGGCTAACTTCTAGACTCAAGTGGACATGTTGAGACAATGATGAAGACAGTTCTCAAGATGGATCCAGTTTTCCTTAAAAAGAGGCGTCATCCCTGTACGAAAATTTCTGAATTTTGATATTTCCACCAATTGTATTAATTAAACTGTACTATTTTGAGCATTAATTTTGGTAGATTCCGTTGCAGACAAAATTTGGTGCATTCTCAGCTATAGCAAAGAAATTTTACTCATTAAGAACTAGCCACTTTCTCTCAAATTATTCTAAATTTTCGAGACCAATGTGTATTCCTACATTCCATTGAAAAGCTGTTTACAACGCATTATAGTCAGAGGATCAGAAAAAAACCCTTTTAGAACAAGACTCCAGTCAGTTAATTCAGCCATCAGAGCTCCTTCTTGAAATAATGATTCAGGGACTCCAAGAGGATCCGAAGATGAAGATAGTCATGAAAATATCAAACTAAAACCTGCATGTTTAAAGAGTGACGAAGTGAGCACAAAAGAATCCCAGAAGATTACAGAAGAACCAATTGGAGTCAATATCGTCAAATGGCTTGATTATAGTCATAAATACGGGGTTGCTTACTTACTATCTAATAATAGTATTGGCGTTCTCTATAATGATGAAACTAAGCTGATTATTACTCCAGGCAACAATGGAATAAGGTATGTTAAAACTTTCATAGTCATGGCCAGTATTCTTCTTTAGATAACACCAATTAAAGGATGATTTTCATCAATCTATTATCTCTAGAACAAGAACAGTCCATTTTTAAGAGAGTGCCAATTTTTGTTCAGGCTATAGAATAGTTTGAAAGATTATATTTATTCAAGAAAATTGACTATTTTTGCTCCTTAACAACTTCTTTTTCATTTTGATCAATATCAAATAATGCTAAATAAATCATGTCAAGTCTAGATAACAACATAAAATGCTAATTTTTGGTATAGTTGAGAAAGCCCAGCTGTTCATGGAGAGTCAGGTTTCCTTTCTAGATTTGGGTCACAAACAAGTCACTTTGTCCAAAAAATCTACTATTTCAACGGTCTGGACATGCTGGTGTACAGCCACGATGACTTCTCTGCATGCCAAGTTGATAAAATGAGCAAGGACCTTAAGAAAAAGATCAAGATCTTTGTGTACCTCAGAAAGCTGCTCACTTCAGAAAAGTAGGTTCCTTTAATATATTTAACACCACAGGCCCAACGATGTAAACCTGTCGCTGGTTCCTCAGACAAGGGCCCAGTACGACTCCACAGTCGTTTACCTGAAGAAGTGGAGCTACGTCGGCGCCAAACTGGTGTTCAAGCTCAACACCAAGATGATGCAGATCGTCTGAGGCAGTCCGAACAAAGTGGGTGGGCCCAAGTCTCCCACCACATCCGAAATCATTTTCAAGTATGATGTGGGCCACATCATGCACTACACGCACAAGGGCAGGTCGAAGGTGGTCACTGTGTCGAAGGCTGACAAGCGGGTGATTTTCAGCAACTCGAAGGGGCTGGACGAGAAGCTGAGCGTTATCGAGAATTTGGTGCAAAATCCTTCTCATCAAATGGTTAATGCCACTCCTAGGACTCTTTGAGAGAATAGGAATACTTCTGCTCAAAGCTCAAGATATGATGTGACCAAGAACGAGAGATCAATTTATGGCTTTACTCCTGTTCAAAAGAAACAAAATTCCCATAACATTCGTCAGAGCAGGTATAAACCTAAACGAAAAATGTATGAGACTCATCAGTCGTTAAGCTACACTCCATTTAAAGATCTCACCTCAAAGACATCCTCATATATGGGAAATGCAGCTTCTAGCTTTAATAAAGCTTTTCTTAATCAGACAGGAGTTCAGTAAGTCTTATAATAACCTGTAGTATGAGCAGTAACAAAAACCTTAGAACAGTAGGACTTCCTCCAACGTCAAATAGTGGTTCTAAACCCGTAGGACTGTGGAGAGATAAGTATTCAGAACTTGGAACTCCAAGAAGGTAACCAAGCGTTACAAATATTTAGGTTCGACTTCTCCAACTTGCCAGACCAATCAACTATAACGACCAGCTGAGTAAGGAGCAAGAGGAACTATTCTAAAGAATCAAGTGTTTTCAGGAATCGCCGTTAGGGTTAAACCCTCAAAGATCAACATAAATTTATTATACTTTTCTAATATTCAATAAAAGTTCCTATTCGAGGGGTTTTGGGGTTTTGGGGTTTTGGGGTTTTGGGGTTTTGGGGTTTTGGGG